AGGCCTCTGTATGGCAGCGTTCTTCCCCCAGGGTGAGCATCTCAAGAGAGCAATACGAAGTGTATGGCATTTTATGACCTAGCCTTGGAAGTTATACAACATTTTATCATACTCTACTGGTTGGGGCAGTAACAAAGGCCTTCCTAGGTTTATGGAGAGGATACAGATCCTCCCTTCCCCCCCCCACTTTCATACGGGAAGTGGTAAAGTCATTTTGTAAGAAGAGCTTGTCAGTGGGAAAGATTTTCTAGAATATCTTTGGAAAATACAATCTGCCACTGCAAACATATACGTATATTGTAAACTATATTAAAAAAAGAAGGTTGTGGTTAGCTCTTTAGGCGAGTAGAGGCAGGGGAATGGGATGGGAAGGAGTACATGTGTATGTTTTGATTAATGGTCTAGTCTTGGGTTGGGTGGTGAGCAGGGCCATCTAGTATAGCAGCTGTGCAGGCTGGGCTTTGAACAACTGGCATCATGAATTACAGTGTGAGTGGTACTCCTAGAGTAGTGCAATATAGCAAACCTGGAGGGGTTCACAGATGTTTATTTTATTATAATTTAATAGATAATAAAAATAATAAATGACATAAAATAAATACATAGAAGGAAAAAAATGAATACATAAAATAAAAGAGGGAAAAAAGAATAGTTTAGGCTTTAGTCAGTCAGATAGTTAACGGCATTTTGGGACACCCAAGAGCCACTTCCTGGGAGCAGTCCTGAGATACAGGGCTCTCTCTAGAGAGATGAATGCCTCACTGTAGGAAATTACATTGGAGTGGCGCAGTGGTTAAGAGCTTGGCTGCTAACCAAAAGGTCAGCAGTTTGAATCCACCAGCCATTCCTCGGAAACGCTATGGGACAGCTCTACTCTGTGCTATAGGGTTGCTATGAGTCAGAATCAACTCAACAGCAATAGGTTTGGTTTTTTGGTTTGGCTGTTTGACTTGTAACTATTCTCCTTTTTGGTGGGACCAGCAGAAATGGGTCCCAGGTAGCTCTATCTGTGACTCATAGCCCAGCCTCTGGCTGGCTGATCCAGAAGTCAACACTTGACCCATTTGGATTAATCAGAGAACACCATGCCCTTGATCATAGAAAAGGAATCCCTGGGTGGTGCAAGAGGTTAAGTACTTGGCTACTAATGAAAGACTGGAGATTCAAACTCACCCAGAGATGTCTCAGAAGAAAGGTCTGCAGATATACTTGTGCAGTTCTACTCTGACACACATGGAGTCACCTTAAGTTGGAACCAACTCAAGGGCAACTTTTTTTTTTTCTTTTTGACCATAGGGATGTTCATCTGATCGATTTAGGTCTATTAATTATTTCTCGGAATTTTTTCCTAGTTGGGTTGAGGAAAGAGATTCAGTTTCTATCTGGTAGTGGAAGCCAAAGGTTTTGAGGCTCTGAAGCTATCAGCAACCAAGTGACTTCCAAGAGAGATGGTCAGCGAACAGAAGAGAATGAAGCAGCAGGAGGAGCAAAGCAGAGGCAGCAAATAGATGGTGTGCTGGTGGCATTTGAATCCAGCTGTGTTATTGCCCTTCTTGCATTTGGTGTTCAACCTTCCTTTGGTAGCATCATTCCAGCATCCTTCCAATAACTTTTCCTTTTGGCCTAGCTTAGTTTCTGCTGGGTTTCTGTCACTTGCAATCACAAGGTTAAGGAGAATTCATACACACCCTGACGGAAGAATGATTTACATAGCAATGCTTCAACATCCAGATTTAGGTGAACATCTAGATGCTGATGAGAAAAGCAAACATTTAGGTGAGATTAATATGAGAATCGTGAATGCACTCATTTGTTTATTCACTTCATTCA